TTATACGTAGTATATTTTTGTCACCGTATTATATAAGTTACTTCGAATATAATTTTTTTTAAATATTAGTTGTCACATTTTTAGAGCCAAATTACCAAATTTGTAATAAAAAACAGGGTATTTTTTCAAATTGATAAAAAAAACTCTTGAGCCATATTGGTAAAAAAAGAAACCCAAGTGACAAATTGGTCAATTTTTTGTGAGTGAGACATTTTTGTTCTCGACTTTAGAACTTCACGACATTTCATATTCTAAGTATTGTAAAATTGACATTTTCAGTATTTCAATTTTGATTTTGCCAGCTAATAGCCATTGAATCAGCATATTAATACCATCACATTCTATTAGTAACAAAATGTTAAAACGTAAAATGACCGATATGAATTTCTTAATTATGAAATTTGATATATTATTTATCTAAATTTCTGCAATTTATATTCTTTTTTAGTGGTTTTTTTTGTGGTTTGTTAGTTTTGCTTGAAACACGAGCATAGGCCTCGGGCTGTATAGGTGAATTCCTTGGTACATGAGTGTGACAAACAATGACAATGTTGGCATTGTTTGGAAGGTGAAGATCAAAATAAGTTATGAAATTCATATTTGTCAATCTCTTGTAGACTTGCACAAAAGTGAGTTCGGGCCGGGCTTTTCATAAATTTTATGTCCATCATATGTGGGCGGGCCCAGCCCGGCCCGCAAAACGGGCCTAACTCCATCTCCATACCCACCCATAAGAGCGGGCCGGGTAGTCCATCGGGCCGCCCGGCCAGGAAAAACTTTAAATTTTTTAAAATTATATTATTTTTTAATGCTTTATAAATAATATTACAACATATAAAAAATTGTTAATACGATTATTATGTTTATAGGACTTTTACTACATGCACAGCTAGTGAGGTAATAACCGAGGCGCGTCTATTGCTGGTTGAAAACTATTTCCAATCCCCCTCGTTGGCTTAGGTTCATTATCTCCATTCAGGATCTTAAAATAAATGGTTTTTCTATGACACATCATATTTATTAAATAAATTTTAAATAATCTCAAATCTTAAAACTCTCCATCAATCAGGATATTCAAATAATTAGTTTTTCTAGACCATGCATTAAATGAAATTTAACTACAACCTAAAATAATCCGGGATTCAAATCCTGATACCGGATTATCTTTTTCAATAATCTCTTTAAATAATCTCTCACTCACAATGATAATCTTTAAAATAATCTTACACATCATCCAATTAAACTCTAAATAATCTAAACAATGTGGATGCCCTTAGTCTAGTTTCTAGATATATATAAATTTTTGTAAACTGTAACTAACTTGAAAATTACAAGGGAAGAATCGGTTTTATACTTGTGAAGATTTTGCGATGTTCATACTATATGCATATGAAATATTTGTATCATATTTTCATAGTATCTTAACTCAGTATAGATGCTTAGTATAGATGCAAGAGATTAGACCTGTACAAAACCCGCCCGCACAAATGGGCGAGCTTGGGCATATATATTTACCCACCAGCAGTGGCGTATCCAGAAACTTTGGTGAGTGGGGGCAAACTTGACTACAATTTAGTCTCATATTTCACAAATAACAAATCACATTATTAATATTGTTTGATTAAATTTAGTTTATAATATCTATGTACAAGTATGAAAAAAAAGAAGATTAATTTATATTACGGGTGTGTAAAGATGTAATTGCACATAAAATGTAATAAATTTACCTAAATATAAGTTAAACAGTCTTAAACATAACATAATTTAGTGAATTTTTTTAGCCTTTCATTCTTTTAATATTAAAGAAAACACTTCTAATCCTATTTTAGAATTTTTTTCTACATTTAACTCTTAATTTGATTAATTTCTTGTAAAAATTTGGACATATATATAGGGGTTGGGTTGGGGTTGAGTGGGGGCAGCTGCCCCCGCTGCCCCCATAATAGATACGCCACTGCCCACCAGGGCCGGGCCGGGCCGCAATAACATATGGGCGGACTTGAGTTAGGGTGTAGGCCCGTTCGGGCCGATAAGCCCGGCCCGCTACATTTACTATATATATACATATATATTTATATATATATATATATACACTAATTTATTTATTTATTTACATGTACACATGTATATTTATATTTACTAATTTATCTTTATACATATTTATAGTTTATTATGTTTCATTTAAGTTTTTAGTTCTTAACAAATAGTCCAACCGATATAATATCTATATTTGTACTTAAAGATAATACTTTGTGTTTGAATTTTAAATTTTAGATATGGTTTCTCATTATTATTATTATTTTTATTTTTATTTTTATTTTTATTTTTATTTTTATTTATTTATTTATTTTTTTTATTTTTTTATAGGGTTTCTAATGAAAGAAACCCTTCCAAAAATTCTCCAAGGCTTAGGATGAACCTAAGCCAACGAGGGGGATTGGAAATAGTTTTCAACCAGCAATAGACGCGCCTCGGTTATTACCTCACTAGCTGTGCATGCAGTGAAAGTCCTATAAACATAATAAACGTATTAACAATTTTTTATATGTTGTAATATTATTTATAAAGCATTAAAAAATAATATAATTTTAAAAAATTTAAAGTTCTTCCTGGCCGGGCGGCCCGATGGACTACCCGACCCGCTCTTATGGGTGGGTATGGACATGGAGTTAGGCCCGTTTTGCGGGCCGGGCTGGGCCCGCCCACATATGATGGACATAAAATTTATGAAAAGCACGGCCCGAACCCACTTTTGTGCAAGTCTACAAGAGATTGACAAATATGAATTTCATAACTTATTTTGATCTTCACCTTCCAAACAATGCCAACATTGTCATTGTTTGTCACACTCATGTACCAAGGAATTCACCTATACAGCCCGAGGCCTATGCTCGTGTTTCAAGCAAAACTAACAAACCACAAAAAAAACCACTAAATACTCCGTATAAGAATTATATTTCAACGCCTTATACATGAGTTTATTCCTCTTACAATGGTGGCCTATGGATGGACTGGGTCTGGGCAGCCCAACCCGTGACCGGCCCAGTACCCGGAACGGGGTAGAAGAGGATCGGGCTACTTGCTTAAATTCTTGGGACCGGATCGGCCGGGCTCGATTCCGGCACCAACTGCTACTTTTTTAAAAAATGTAATTATTGGACGGAAACCGGCCCGGACCCGGACAGGAACCAGTACCGGACCAAACCGAGTCGGTACCAGCCTTCAATTATATAGAACCGGGACCGGCCCAGTTCCATGCCTATGGTGGCCATAGAAAGACAAATATTGAAATGCAAGTGCTCTTGGACAGACCAATTACTTGTTTGAGCTGAAATGTATAGTAATCACGCCAAAGTAAGTTGGGTTAGTGAATAGTTGGGATCTTCCCGTATCAGAGAAATATGGCCGGTTTATACCTAAGACTCTAAGACCATTTGTAGTGGTGAAGAGTCCAAATTGTTAAATTTGGACTCCGTTCATATGAAAACAGTGTTTAGACTCCGTCAATACACTGTACAAGGAAAGTTAACTAACTTATACTCCGTACAAGGAAACTAAATACTAGGAACAATAAATTAAATGATCAGATATTGTTTTATAGTATTACTACTGTTAACATTGTCATCTTAGAGAGATCAAATCACATAGAAACTCGCTATAATGCTGCCACCACAAAAAATCCCAAAATAAAAGACATGGTAATTCAGTAACCTTTCCCAATTAACATTAACATTACTCAATTAAAACAAGTCATCATGAAGGTGTCAAAAAGTTGCTAGTTACGTCAGCATCACTCTTGTTTTGCTAGGATTGAAAACAATCTCGTGAATTCATTACTTCACCAGATTGTTAACAGCAGGATGTGCAGGGAGAATCTCTTCAACAAGGCTGGGCACAGGAGGAACTCCTGTCGGGTCTTCAATTTTTATTGGAAAGCCCCAGGAAGAAGTATCAAAGTCTGGGAAGCATTTGCGAAGAGCATCGGAGATGCAAAATTGAGCAGTTGACACTCCTTGTATGAAAGACCGCACCACTTCCTCGGCAACAATATCTTTGCATCGTTTTGTCTGTAAAAATGTATTTTCATGATCAACCAAGGCCTTTTGGTACTCCTCGGATTTCTTGTACTTCTCAAGATAATCAGTTAAGTCTTTCTTGTGTGTTTTGGACCCCTTATACTTTTCAAGGTAATTTGCCAGATCTTTCTTGTACTTTTCCTCAACATTTGCTAGCTCTCTTTTGTATTCTTCTAAATTCTTATGCAGCACAGGATGGTCATCCAATTTTTTCTTGTAATCCTCTGACCTTTTGTATCTCTCAAGATGATCAGCCAGTACCCTTTTGTGAAGTTTAGAAGCTCTGTCCTTCTCAAGGTGGTCAGCTAAAGATTTCTTGTGCTCTTCTGAGCCCTTGTAATTGGTCAACTCCTTCGTATGGTCTTCTGACTTCTTATGCTGTGCATTAGACTTCTTGAATCTTTCAAGGTGATCAGCCAATACCTTTTTGTGCGCATTGGAAGATTTGTACTCCTCAAGGTGGTCAGCTAAGGCTTTTTTGTGCTCTGGGGAGTCCTTGTACTTTTCCAGATGAATTGCTAACTCTTTCTCGTATTCTTTTGAATTTTTATGCAGCACAAGATGGTCGGTCAAATCTTTCCGGTGTTCTTCAGACTTTTTGTATTTCTCAAGATAATCATCCAATAGACTTTTGTGTTCATCGGAATGCTTGTAGTTTTCCAGGTGATCGGCTAACTCTCTCCTGTATTCTTCTGACTTTTTGTATCTGTTGAGATGATCAAGCAGTACATTTTTGTGCTCATCGGAACTTTTAAACTCCTCCAAATGGTCATCCAACTCTTTCGTACACGTTTTAGAAGCCCTCAACACCTGGATAGCCTTGCTAATAAAGTCAGTCTTGATATCTGCAAAGGCATTGGAGGCCAGAAAATCTTTTATGATTGACTTTCTGGTTCTTTGAAGATCTTCTTGAATGATCTTCATTTGCAAGACTCGTGAAATCAGAATATCAAACTTGTTCCCAGTAGCACTCTTGTCATCACTTGCAGAAGTGTTGGCATCATTTTTTAATTCAAGGACGCGAAAAACACACTGCAAGGCAACAAAGTGAGGAGGACAAAACCAAACAAAAGGAGAAATAATGACAAACAGATGAATAAAACAAAATTAGAGGACAATAAAGAATAGCACTTTTACTAAGCAGTGACCATAATAGTGTTTTGACGTGATTGTAAAGTAGGCATGGTGATGTTCATCATAGTAATCAATAATCATATAGTCATACTTTTGTTCATGAATTTTATTTTAGAACAGAAAAAAACCTAGAAAAATAATGACTACATAAAGTACCTTGAAGGCATATATCATCACAGATTCGCACAGTTTCTCTGAAAATATACTCTCCAGTATTTCCATATCAAACGGAGGATAACCGTCCTCTGACACTTCTTCAGTTTTGATGGTACCCTTTTTTGATGAAATGTTCTGTTCATTGTCCATGCTCACTCGGGGCTTCTTTGTAGCACACGAGGCAATGGGAGAAGAAGGTGAGTTTCTTTTGTTATGTCCGTGGCATGGTGGACAAGCTGACGAAGGTGGAAGGCCCATAGAATTATCTACGGGGGAAGAGGCATCAGGCAACAACACAGTATTAGGGATCCTGGAAGCTATTCCAGTGTGAGGATCAGAGGCTTGCCCAGGTTTCCCTTTATCAGGACTGAGAATTTTCTTTGAACGGATAAGAAGGTCTGCTGTGCTAAAAATATTCACATGGCCTGCAAAAAAAGATGAATGTATATGTGTGTACACATAAGAATTACAAAATAGATGGATGGAATACTACCCAGTCCATGGAGAAATAAGCTGCATGATATTTATTTGTTCTTGGCAATTTATTCCTTCATAGAAATACAGGTCCTATTTGCTAGCATTAATAAGCTTATTCTTCTTAACATTAAGCAGAATAACTGAATAAGTAGCTTTTGACTTACTTATATGTTTGAAAAATCGATTTTCACACTCTTTTATTTAAAAAATCAAGTAGACTTAACCATATAATCAAATGTCATGAGCCATAAACTAGGGCTGGGAAAAAACTCCCGACTCCCGACTCCCGATCCCGACAATCCCGATCCCGATAATCCCGATCCCGACAATCCCGATCCCGACTAGTCGGGAATTTTTCCCGATCCCGACTAAGTCAGGACGGGACCGGGATTTTTTTTTTTAAAAAAGTCGGGATCGGGAAAATCCCGACATCCCGACATCCCGACATTGTGTGTGTATATATATATATATACACATGTATAGAATTATATATGAATATATAAAAATGAATATACATTTATAAAAATGAATATGTATCTAAATAATTTCATATCTTTTTTAATTACTTATTCCTTACATAGATTAATCTTTTACTACGAGTATCTTACAATATCAAACTTCTAAAACTATTCGGCATTTGTCCCAAAATGAATATTCGGGATCCTAATTAAATAGAGATTATTCTTGATCCCGACAATCTAAATCACAACAATATTACAAATTTTGCAGTTCTGATGAACCCTTTAAAAATCATGATCGAGACTAAGATTTTTTTCTTTAGTAAATAATCATAATATGTATTTAAACTATTTATACATTATATTCATTGGTCACAAAGTTTATGAATAAGTCTACTTAGTTTTGAATTTTAAATAATATACGATACACATCCTTCTTTTAGTGATTTTTATATAATGTTTGAAGTAAGTTTCACTAAGCCTTGATAGCTTATTCAAAAATTATACTATTAATTAATTGAAGTTACAAATAAAAATTATTCTAAAAGTATGTACTAGTCGGGATTTAGCGGGATTAAACGGGATTCCCGATCGGGATCCCGACTTAATCGGGATTTTAATGTCGGGATCCCGACTTAATCGGGACGGGATACGGAATCTTCTTGTAGTTTGACTCGGGATCAGGACGGGATCGGAATTTGGGCAATCGGGATCGGGATCATCCCGATCCCACCCCTACCATAAACCCTTGCCAAATACAATCAAAGTAATTATTCTTATTTTCATCTGACAAATTATCCCAAAGTTCCAGTAACACAAAATCTAGTCCCCAGTCTGAAACACCAATTCACCTTTTTCCATGTTCTGATGCTTCGTTGATGAGTAGAAACTATAAAATATATTCGATCAAGACCAGAAAATCGAGTTAAGACTCAATAGGTAACATATCCAAAAAGGAATCATTGTGTTCATCAAATCATACCTCTAACTTTTTGTACTGGAAATGTTTCAGCATTTCCACTAGAGGGCTTTCTTCTTTCTTCACATTCTCCTTTAAAATTACAAGTAACAAGTAATTGCTAATTAGTCGTAATGTAAAGGACCGGCAAATAATTAAAAAATGCCGAAAAATTGTTGAATTTGTGTGGTGGTATATTGGTTCAACAATGTGCTCTTTACTCACCGCCATCATCGCTTTGTTGAGAAGGACTTTCAGAGTTTTTAGGTTCCTGTTCAGCACCTCCATTATCGAGCTGCTGCTTTCGACAATAGGCCCGCATGTTCTTCTTGTACTCCGCCTTCAGTTTATCAGCCTTGAGTAAGTAAGGAGCTTTATCGGCGGCGGACATATTCCTCCACTCTTCAGGAAAAGGAAGAAAGGAGTAAGAGGCTTCCTCGGTTTATTTGGATCCTTTCCGACCTTCATGGCACTGTAGTCTGGTTCTGGGGGAGGCGAAAAGATTCTCAAAAAATACTCCGTAAGCGATACTCATTACACAATAAAAATTGTAATTGTAATACTCAAAAATTAAATCGATACTCCTCATCAATAAATGGAAAAAAATAAAAAAAATCCGCTGCCGGGACTCGAACCCGGGTTTTAATCCAGCTATACCGTTTATAGTTGCTACAGCGGAGCTATAGAGATAATTGTTTACTGTGTATGTTAGGGTAATTATTATATTACTCAGTTGTAACTAGGTTAATTCCAAAATTTTCATGATATATACTAGAGTCAATTCCCTAAATAGGACTAAAAAGTGGCAAAATTGCACAAATAGGACTACTTTTTTTAAATTCCCTTAATAGGACTATTTATGTGTGTTTGGCCAAATATACCCTTGTAACTTGTGAAATGTTTTAATTAATAATAAAATCATACAAAAATAATAAAAATCGAAAAAAATACTAAAAATCGTAAAAAGATAATAGAAAATTAATAAAAATATTTTTAAAAAATTAAAAAAAAATATTTTTAAAAAAAAATCGTAAAATTAATTAAAAAAACATTACCACCCCTGCCACCCCCCAGCACCACCAGCTCCCATCACCGGAGAAAAATATGCCAACATTTTAAATAATGCCATAATGATGGCATATTCAATGAAAATGTTGGCATATTAAAGAGTAACTATGCCATCTTTTTGGCATTTTCAGAAAAAGATGGCATTTTTTTTACCAAAAGTGGAAGAAATTTCACCAATCGGAGGTGGTGGTGCCGGGAGGCGGAGGATGGCGGTGGGAAATGTATCCATAATTTTTTTCATTTTTTTTATGGGTTTTTACTATTTTTTATTATTTTTTAAAAGAAATTTAAAAACATAAAAATTAAATTTTTTATTTTATAAATGTTTTATAATTTTTTTATAATTTTTTTACGTTTTTTAAATATTTTTTACGTTTTTTTATGATTTTATTATGAATTAAAGCATTTCATTATGAATTAATACTCTTAGGGGTATTTAGGGTAGAAAATCTATGTTTAGTCCTATTTAGGGAATTTAAAAAGTAGTAGTCCTATTTGTGCTTTTTAGGAACTCATTAGTCCTATTTAGGAACATTTCCGTATATACTACTTCCATTCTTAAATAAATGCAACATATGAAATCTTACACTATTCACATGGTCTACTTTGACTACGTTTTATTTATTAATGTATGAATACATTTTTATGAAAAAAATATTGTTTTATTTGTCTCATTGTAAATTTTCAATATCTAATTTTTTTAATTTTTTTACTAATATAAATTTATATATATTAATGGTCAAAGTTGTGTCTCGTCAAGTGTAAAATGTTGACCGTTGCATTTATTTAAGAACGGATGAAGTACATAGTCTATTAATCTAAGTAAGTTATTTTTAGCATCGTGTAAATACTAATATAATCTAGATATATTTTGATCGAGAGTTTCAATTCTTGGAAAATTTTATTAATTTTTCTATAAACAATACATTTTATGATTACATTTTGGGAAAGTGTGGTCATGTGTCAACACAATGTTATTTCTTCTTGACTAATTCTTATGCTAATTTTCTAATTCCAATAAACAATTGCATCATGCTTATATGTATTTAGGTAGATTCTATGGTACTCAAAAAGTACCATACCTTTGTCCACATGGACCAATCAAATACATGATAGGTACGGTACCCCGATTTTTTAAATGAGTACCGGAGTTGTCACCATGTATTTATTTGTGATTGAGTTATGCTCAAACACAAATTCTTACAGCTATGAACTCATGAGCTAATAAACCTTAATCATGAACTAATTACTTGCGATGTGTCATGAAAATTGCCTTTATGATACTAAACAACTCTATCGATTATCAAACATATGGTCTTTGCCGTGATAAGTTATACGCAGTATATATCACTATGAATTTCCCTTTAACTTCATTCCTCTAGGGATGGCAATTTAACCCGATCCGATGGATACCCGCACCGAACCGAACCGGTCAAAATGGGGAAAACCGCTTTGACTGGGTAACGGGTACGGGGCGGGGAATACCCGATTTATTTAAACGGGTAATGGGGCGGTTATGGGTTTATACCTACCCGCCCCGTTACCCGCCCCGTTACCCGCCCCCGTTACCCGCCCCGTTTAATTTGGATACGGTTACCCGCACCATTACCCGACCCGCACAATTAACTTATACATTTTAATAGTTTATGTATTTATTATTTAATATATTAAATATATATGAATATTAGTACATTAGTATATGACACTTATTCACTCTAGTACTTTGAAACAATATTCAACTTTTCGGCTATCCTTTACAATTCTGATGAGTTGGTGCTCAAAGTTCACTATTTTAGATTTTAAATCTTCAATATATTTCATCATCCTTCCTTTGTTAACTTCTATAATATTCCTTCAAAAAAACTTCTACAATATTTATTTTCTTCACATATTGATTATTTGATTTTCGTGACTTTCTTTACGCAATTTTCACATTGTGACTCTCAGTTTTTCACCCAATAACTTTCATAAAACTCACGTATGAGTTTAAAGTCAAAATATTGCGAAACATTACTCTAGCTTGCTTTAATTTATGAAATTGCTAATAATTTTGTAAAGGTGTATTGGATGATTAGATTAATTTTGATTGGTTGCTCTAATTTATATCAAGTTTTAAAATTTAAATTATGTTTTTTTCTTTCTAAAACAGTAACTACAAGAATACCTAAATCACAGTATTAGAAGTGCCTTTTAAATAATTCCAAATCTATAATCAAAATAAAAGTTGTGGACAAAAATGCGACTCTAGTAACTTTAGTGTTTATAATTTTATTCAAATGTTATGTCGTAGTGATTACAAAACATACTCATGGTAACTTATAGTCATATATTTTTTATTAGAGATATTTTAGGGGGGAAACTTCCCATTTTCATTATGTTACTTGTATACATTATTGTTCTTAAATTGATTTAGATGTTGAATGTTGGTGGGGGTATGCTTATTGAATGTTTGGAAGTTAAATGTATTTTTTATTCATATTTAGATTTTACTATCGAGACAAGACTTACTCTTTTGATGTTGATGTGGTAAGAGATTCAATTTGAATCTAGACATATATAATTTGTGAATATTAGATTCAAACGATTGTAACTTTTTGTCATGTTTTAAAAAACTTTATCTGTGCTACTATTTAATTTTAATTTTTTTTTAATTTAGGTGGTCAATGATAAGTAGTTAATAATCATTTTAGGATCTATACTAATTTTGAAGAAAAAAAATTATTTTTTAGTAAAACAGTTACCCGCGGGGAAACCGTTACCCGCGGGGAAAACCGTTACCCGCGGGTAAAAAATACCCGACGGGTAACGGGGCGGTTTCGGGGAAAATTTTTATCAAACGGGGCGGGTACGGGTAATGGTATACCCGACCCCGAACCGCCCCGTTGCCATCCCTACATTCCTCCCAACATGTTAGAATTAACAACTTTTATCTGTTTTTTGGATTTCCTCTATACTTCAATAATGTTTCCTCTTTTGAAATTTCATTTGTTTTATAAAATATTTATACAAAAAAATGATAAAAATAATTCAATTTATTAGTGATCCTCTCTTAATAATCCCAATGAAGCAATGATCGATTATTTCAACTTTAGGGACCTTCCGTCAATATACTACATCTTCTTCTTGTACTCGGTCTTAAGTTTATCAGCCTTGAGTAAGTAAGGAGCTTTATCGGCGGCAGACATATTCCTCCACTCTTCACCTCCGGCTTGAGAGGCCGCTACAGATGATTTCCTCCTGAACGGCCGCCGCGCATAAAAAGTCTTCCGGAACTCCTTCAGGGAAAGGAAGAAAGCGCTAAGAGGCTTCATCGGTTTATTTGGATCCTTTCCGACCTTCATGGAGAAAACCGGTGAAATTGTGAAAATCAAAATGACTTGGCGGGGAAAGGCACTGTACTCTGGTTCTGGGGGAAAGACGAAAAGGAAGATTCTAAAATAATACTCCGTATACGGTATTTATTACGCAATGAAAATTTTAATACTCAAAAAATAAATCAATACGGAGTATTACTCATCAATAAATGTAAAAAACTTAAAATTTCCGCTGCCGGGACTCGAACCCGGATTTTAATCCAACGCTCAAGTTAATGGTTGGATTTTAAACTCAGCTCCCATTTATTGTTGCTACAGCGGAACTACAGTAATAATTGTTTACTGTGTATGTTAGCGTTGTTATTATACTCCGTATTACCCAGTTGTAATTAGGTTAATTCCAAAATTTCATGATATATACATAGTCAATTAATCTAATCAAGTTATTTTTAGTGTGTAAATACTAATATAACTTTGATGTATTTTGATAGAGAATTTTAATTCTTGGAAAGTTTTATTAACTTGTATGTAAATACGGAGTAATACATTTCATGGTTACATTTTGGGAAAATATTGTCACGTGTCAACACAATGTTAACTCTCCTTGACTAATTCTTATGCTATTTTTCTAATTCGAATAAACAATAACGATTTTGAGTATATAAATCCATATATTATGATCTAATAACTTGCGGCGTGTCATGAGAATTGTCTTTATGATATTGGACGACTCTACCGATTATCAAATTTATGGGCTTTGCCGTGATAAGCTATATATATCACTATGAATTTCCCTTTAACCTTGCTCCTCCCAGTATGTGAGAATTAACAACTTTTAACTGTTTTTCTGAATTCCTCCATACTTCAATAATGTTTCCTCTTGAAATTTCATTTGCTTTATAAACTATTTATATGAAGAATTGATCAAAATAATTCAAATTGTTCCTATTCCTCTCTTAATAATCCCATTAAAAAGATATTCTTTCAAATATTTATTTACAAGTTTTAGGCCTCTTTCATTTGAGATGCTTCCGGGTCGAATATTTTTATGAAAATTTTGAAAGCATGTTCTCCATGAAATATAGATTACGTCTACCAAATTTCAGATTAAAACTCAAACGAGAAGTCACTTAAATAAAATGTTGAGAAAACTTATTTATATACGG